CCGTTACAATAACTGCTTAGGTTATAAAAGAGAATATCTAATAGAACTCCTCTATATAAATATTGCAGGACTATTTAATAAGGGTCTTAATAGCAGTTGCTACTGGCTAACTATTATTAATAACTTAACCGGCTAGATTAAAGTTATTCCTATACTATAATAATAGGGATTTGTTATTAAATTACTATACTTCTTTCTTAACTATAATAAGCGCCCTAAATAAAAGTATAGATAAATATAGCTTAATTAGATTACTAAGTAAGTAGGAGAAGAAATAAAGTTTATCCTTTTTTTTTAATTAATTTAAGCTAAAGTTACGGGTGTAGACTAGTACTAGTAGAATAGTATAGCTAAAAAAGCCTATAAAATAATATATAATTAAGTCGGACCTATACTAGCACACGCAAAGCTGCTATTAAAGTTCTGGCTAGAAATAGCTTAAATAGCAGTATACCTTTTTAACTAATCGCTTTTATTAAAGCTTTAGATAATACTATATTAGGTATAGTATAGTAAAAAGCCTAATTTATTATAACTAAGAGTAATTAGGTTAAAAGGGGAATACCTAATCCTACTAAAGTAAAGGAAAAAGCTAACTAAACCGCAAATAAGGCTATATATTTTACTAGGCTATAAGGAAAACACTAACTACTATATTCTACTAGAAGATAGAAGGATTATTAGAACTCTAAATACTAAATTCTAAAAAGCTTTTATAACTCCCTTTATATAGATTATATAAAATATAGAAGCTAAATAATATAGCTTACCTAAGGTAATAGCTACTACTATAAAAGGGAGTAAAATAGTAGGGCTACTAAACTAACTATTAGTAAGTATATAGTAAGTATCTATACTAGCCTTTAAATATTACGCATCTGTAGTAGCACTAGAATAAGCCTTTTCTAAAATAAGTAATAAGAACTTATAAATATTACTTTATACAGGCACTAAAAACTTATAAATACTACCTTAGGCGGGCACTAAAAACCTATAAATATTACCTTAGATAAGTAATAAAAACTTATAAATACTATCTTAACTAAGTAATAATAACTTAGAAAAGGAAGCGCTGTTCTAATTAAGTAATAATAACTTGCAGTTAGTTACTAAGCAGGGAGATAGGACCTTATTACCTCTTAGAAGTAATAATACTTTTAGGTTATTTTTAGATACTCTAGAAAAAGATAATCTACTACCTAATAGCAGTTAGTAATAGAATAACGCTTTATATAACTAAGCCTTAGAAGAACAGTAATAATATCTAAAACTCTAGCTTAATCGCCTAGTTTATAAAGTAAGGTAAAAAGCCTTAGAATATTACCCTAAACTTAGAATCTATATCCTACAGGCCGTATTAAATATATCTAATAATAGCGCAGAAGAACTTGCGCTAATAAATATACCTAAAGGTAATATACTCCTAATATTTTTAATAGTAGCTATAAAAGAAATAGAACCCTTTAAACTAAAAACTATTTACTAAATAGAGAATAATATAAGCTAGCCTAAATAGAAGAGGGTAATACTTAAAGAAGCTAACTTGCTTAAACAAAACAAAATATAGGAGCTTATTAACCCTTCTAGAAATTAATAGGTTTTTAGTAGTAAATAGGTTTTTAAGCTTAAGTAAAAACTATATAGAAAAGTTATCCGCTATAAAAGTAGATAGGTAGTTAGGGGCTTTACTTAAGAAAAGGGCGTTAACTATAATAAAACGTTTGCCTCTATTATTAAGCTAATAAGCTATAAAGCTTTATTTATAATCGCGGCCGCTCTAGGCCTTAAAATTAAATAAATAGATATTAAGACGGCCTTTCTATATAGTAATATAGACTATAAGATCTATATTAAACAGCTATACTAAGGGTTTATAAACTCCGGAAAGCATTCTACGGCCTAAAATAAGCTCCTTATATTTAGTATTAGACCCTTATAAACTTCTTATATAGTTTCGGCTTTAAACTAATTAATACTAACTTTAGAATTTTTATATAAAGCAATATATATATCGCGGTATATATTAATAACCTTTTAATTATTAGACTAAGTATTACAGAAATTAAAAGGATTAAAAAAGGCCTAAAAAACTATTTCTAAATAACAGACCTTAGACTATATAGCTACTACCTTAGGATATTTATCTAGTAAAACTATTAGAATAGAATACTATACCTAAGTTAAGAAGCTTATATTAATAAGGTTATTTATTAGTTTAGAATTAACAACTATACTTCTATTAGCACGCCGATAGAAACCTTACTACTATTAGAAAACATTCTAGAATATAACTGCCCTTTAGATTAAAAAGCGGAATACTAATATATTATAGGATCTCTAATATATATTATACTTAGAACTAGAGAAGATATTATATATATAGTTTCTATAGTAAGCCGGTATCTAGCAAATCCTAGGCTATAATATATAAAGCTTGCTTAACGCATTCTGCGGTACCTTAAAGGTATAAAAGATCTTAGACTTATATATAAAGGTTACCTCTAGATATTAAAGGATTTTATAAACGCAGACTGGGCTAGATATTATAATATAAGATAATTAATAGCTGGATACCTGTTTAATATCGGGAGCGGAGCAATTAGCTAGTAGTCCAAGCGCCAGAGCGTTATCGCTCTATTAACCTGTAAAGCAGAATTTATAGAATAGATATAAGCAACTAAAAAGGTAATTTAGTTAAGAAGACTCCTTAATAAGCTAAATATAGGCTAAGGAAAAGCTGCAATAATTATATATAGCGACAACCAGGAAGCTATTACTCTATCCTCGAACCTATAGTACCACTCACGCACAAAGCATATGGAAATCCAGCGCAAGTGGTAAGGAGAGGTTTAAAACGCTGGAACAGTTAAACTGAAGTATGTTCCAACTACAGCACAAATTGCCGATAGATTTACCAAGCCTCTTGCACGAGACAGATTTGAATGGTTTCGGAGAGGGCTAGGTATCGAGTGATCCGCACAAACTATCAGCTTCGAGCGGAGGCAGAACACAGGCACCCTTTCCTTCTCTTTTTGCCTTCAAGGTTTTTGAAGGTTTTAACGGGGTCTGTCAGAGCCGTGACAAATTGTCGCTAGCACTCTTCCTAGTAAAGATAGCCATCGAGTGGGAGTGTTAAATATCACGGTTAATAGTGGCTAAAACGATGTGATAAGGGGTGAGAATGGATACATATATGAGGCACCCCGCCTATCCATAGCCAGACAATTAATAAAGACACAATCACTTGCTCAACAGGCTCCTCTTCCCTTTTCGTACTGGTAGACTCTTAGTAATAGTACGAATCATGCATTTTTGTCACGGGACCGCGCGACGTAGAAACACGTGATTAGCATTGAGCACATGAGCTATGACTCGCGGAGCCCCTTTCAGTCTCCGCTCGCTCGTATCCTTCTTTCTCTCTTCTTTGTACTAACGTCCCTCCCTGGGTCGCGGAAAACCCACCGTGCCGGAAAATATAAGGGGTACTTTAACTTCAAACAACTTAGACTCGATGCACACATGAAGATTTCCTATAGTTCTATATATGTCATGTACTTTAGCTACCCCTAAACACTTAGAACATCTCCCACCTAAAAATTACGTTTGCATCGTCGCTTTCGCGCCCTAATTTGCGGAGAGCCTTCTTCCATGGCGTAACAGAATTCCTTCGCCACAGCACCACTTTCAAACTCTTATCACTCCTAATATTTATAAAAGAGCCTTATCCGAGCTTTAGAGCCTTATAACCATACTAGAAGTCGTTATCAGCTTTGTGGTTGCTATCGCACGCAAATTCATTTAAAGTCGCCACGCGGATTGGTACCTCCAACCGAGGCAGCCACCAATACTAGTTAGTGCGAGACAGTTCCGTACGCTCGAAATAATTATTACGGTGTAATTTACTTATAGAAATCAAGTAAGCCCCGCCCGTGGCTGTTAGGCCTGTGGCTGCGCGTGGCTGCGCGGACCCTTGCTAACGCTCGGAGTAAATAAAAATCCGACTCCGGAACAACAAGATGCGGGCAAGCTGGCTATCGCATGCGTTCTCTCTCCGTTATTTAATTCCTTTATTATAGTATAGCCGCTAGCAAATGCGGTTTCACTTTTGCCCATTGTTGCAACACTATTTTGCTCCGGCCGGCAAGTATAGGTAAGAATACCAGTCTTGGCATTCCAGCCACAATTACGCCACAGACATAGGCACGTGATTTTCCACTATACTAAAGAGTACTTCCATCAGAATTTGGCCCCACAAAGAGTGTGGCTGGTGCGGGTTGGCTGTCCTCTCTGTGGCAAGATCTAGGAGGTAGTAGCAGATTCCTCTCGGCACTATCAAGTACTAGCCAGCATGCTTATCTACTTCTGTAGCACGTGATGGTGCAGCTAAGGCTGCCTTTGTACAGCCTTCACACAGCCCACCATCATAATACATAGAGCGCTACTATCTCCCCTGCAATCCCGTAGCCATCCATCCGGATTTCGTGCAGATCGCCCGCTCTCTTCGTTGTTGCAATGCGACTCCTTTACTTTTGACGGTTCAGTACTTTTGGGTCGACACTTGTTGTATTGACAAATGGAACCTCCGCGAACTGTCAAACGCGATAAACTCCATTTTCTAGAGGTATAAGAATGCGGCAAGATGCTACGCTTTGCTCTCGGACGTCTCGACGCCTATGGCAGATGCACATCTGCACGAGGGTACATGGCATACATCCTTTCGAAAGAGCAGATGGTTTACTCGAGGCTGGACGCTTCAAGAACTCCTAGCTCCAGCATCAATCGAGTTCTTTTCCTCAGATCGTCAGCGACCACAGCAGTGGCACTTAACATAGTCTTATCGCATGAGCTTACTGCGGCTGAGCCGAGCTGAAACTAAATGTGCGGGGCGATGTCCTCAGTCTACCAATGGTCGCAGCCACGCCTGAAGTACCAATAAAGCGCAAAGCCGCTAAACCTATAATAAGATCAATGCGGCGGGGCTCAGCGCGTATAATCATCATACAACATCCAAATTCCTACGACACTACTACCTTCTTAGTCCGCTTCTTTATGATCTTATCAACATGGCAGAACAGTACGGATTTGGAGAGCCTCTTTTCGATCCTGCGGAGGCGAAAATAGAGTATAGACAACCACCTTACCTACCTGCAGCCCCAGCTAACAAGACAGTGTCGTCTTCATCCACGGACTTGGTGGCGATAGGGCCAGGACCTGGACATAGGAAGGGGACGGTAGGAAGCATTTTTGGCCGAAAGATCTCCTGCCGCAAGCTTGTCCAACGGCTCGAATTCTTTCTTTTGGCTACAATGCTGAATTCGCCCACTTCTTTCCATTTTTCGGCCCCAAGTTCATGCCGGAGCAGTTGACCATCGACGACCATTCGACTGCGCTATTCCAAAACCTGATTGGTCTGCGCGAGAAAACCGAAACCGTACGGAACAGACGAGCGTGTCCATTCTTTCACAGCAATCAAGCTAACAACACGTACAAACCTAGGCAGATCGCCCGGTGATTTTCGTCTGTCATAGCCTAGGAGGCCTTGTTTGCGCCAACGCATTGTCAAGGCACCACGGGACGGATCTGGCCGGCGCTGGCCTTGTGGAGAAGACGATTAGAGTTGTCTTTCTCGGAACACCGTTTAAAGGATCTTCAAAGGCGAAGTAGGCCGGGAGGGCGCTCAAGGTGCTAGACTGGGCAAGCACGACGCATAAGGAGGATGTGAAGGATCTTGAAGAGCGTTCGGCAAAGCTTATAAACATCAACAATGCTTTCCAGAAGTTTCTTAAAGCACGAGACCGGTCGGAAACCGGACAGTTTATCGAAGTGGCTTGTTTCTTCGAGCAGTATGCCATTTATAAGGCTGGGAAAAAAATTGGTATTATTGTACCTAAGGAGTCAGCTTGTCTGCCCGGCATCAATCCGCAGTCAATCCAAGCCAACCACGTCAACATGTGCAAGTTTAAGGATGAAGACAGGGAGGGATACAAGAACATTTCACAACGGTTGAGTCAGTGGATAGTAGACCTTGATAGGCGGCTCAAGGGTTCGCAAGCTGAGAGCCAGGTTTGGCTGCCCTTATCTACTCTTGAAGCTAGCTAATGGCGGACAGAAACACTCCGTGTATATGGGCGACGTCAACTATCGAGACAAGATTGAGAACAACCGAGGGGTGGTAATAGGCCATGCCCACAGCACGGCCACAGACGGGGTTAGAATAACTGGGAGCAGCACCACGGTATAAAGTCACTACGTTGTTGCGGCATCGATATCTGCGCTAACAAGCATACAGCACACATACAACGGCGTTAACCCAAACACTTCTGGGTAAACTGCTAGATAGGGAAGAGTACAGAGCGATAGGATGGTAGCAGGGAAGATGTGTGATATTTCCGATCACGTGATGAACAATTCGGAGGACAATAGATGTCGATTCTATATAGGAATCTAGCTAGGCTATATACACGTAGGTGAGGCCCGTGCGGCCTCCAATTTAACTAGATCTATGGTAGGAATGCCTCCTACTATAGATCTACATTTCACGTGCATATAAACCTATACATCACGTGTTCTTATACATCACGTGCTCGAATATCACGCGAACGCTGAGAATTCCACAGATGCGCAAAGTATTAACGCTAGCAAGCAAAGTTTTCGAGCCTTTAAGAATTTTTGGTTGGCTTGAATTTAGACTATTTGTTTTACTAGTGTTATAGTTGGAAGGCTAGAAGAAATGGAAATAGAGATTAGCTTGAAAAATAGAGAGAAAACTCAGTACTTGCTATAACTCTATAGCTTTGCAAATGCCTGAGGCCCTATGTATGCGGGAGTCATGCACGATACGATCAAGGATCTGTCGGCGCTTCCGTGCCATGTTTCTACCACAATGGACCGTGCCGCGTGCATGCAGATCGCCCCGTGATGACAGTTCAGCTGGGCTCAGCCGCAGTAAGCTCATGCGATAAGGCTACATTAACTGCCGCTGCCGTTGGGATGGACTCAGTACAGTTTCTGATAGCCATTATACATTATTCTCTTTAACAGCAATGGCCGACAACACGCCGACGTTTACCACGGGCGCAACGGAGTTCGGTGCGATTTCTGGATTCTCGTACCCATGTAATGTGCCAATAGCAGGCAGACCGACGCCTCCAAAACAGCACGAGTCTGCTCAGCCCCACAGCCTTGCATAGGAAGGCAGATTTCAGCTGAAGCTCAGCCTGAAGGCAAAGAGCACTCATCGTCAACTCTTAGACTTGCAATCGACCAGCAAACATCAAGATCGTCGGGTTCAAAATGGCCAATCCTACTTTCAACTCCACGTTCTCGGGTTCGAGTAACCAAGGATTGCAAGTTGGGCATAGCTCGGGCCAGATTGAGGCCCACTTCCACCAGGCTCGTAAGTTGCTGGTTGCGTCAGTCTGCCTTAGAATAACGCTAACAGCATTCTGCTTTCCCCTAGAACGACCAGAGACCCCACCGAGCCCTTCCTGCGTCGTCCCCTTTCGCCGCGACCCGGACTTTGTCGATTGTGGAACACTGCTCGATCAGATACGCGAAGGGTGCTCCGCGCCGGCATCTCGCATAGCGCTGGTGGGCCTGGGCGGTGTGGGGTAAGCTAAAAGGACACTTGGGCCAGTGCTTGTATCTAACGTAAGCATAGGAAGTCGCAGCTTGCCATTGAGCACTGCTATCGAGCCGCGGATCAATCGCCGGAGACGTGGGTGTTCTGGGTGCACGCCAGCAACGCGGCCCGCATCGAACAAGGCTACCGAGACATCGCGGACCAAGTCAAGCTGGCTGGCCGCAAAGACCCACAAGCGGATGTGTTTAAGCTAGTCCACAACTGGCTCCGCAACGAGAAGAACGGAAGGTGGCTGCTAGTCCTCGACAATGCCGACGATGCCGCTGCTCTCTCTCTACCAGCAAGCAATGGCCAGAAGACACAAGCAAGCGACGGAGATGGCGCTCCCCCGCGTTACTTCTCATCGTACCTGCCCCAGAGCAAGAACGGCTCGGTTCTAGTCACTAGTCGGACAAGGAGCGTGGCATTGCAGCTGGTGGAGGAAAGAGATATCATACCCATCGAGCCCATGGACGACGCCGGCGCGCAAGCTCTTCTACAGAAGAAGCTAGGAGAGAAAGTCGACAAAGACGGCATTGCAGAGCTAGCGGACGCCCTTGAATTCATGCCACTCGCTCTTGTACAGGCGGCGGCGTACATCCGACAACGGGCACCAAGGTGTTCAGTGCGGCAGTACCTGGAGCAGTTCCACAAGAGCGACAGGAAAAAGACGAGCCTGTTAGACTATGATGGAGGCCGTCTTCGGAGAGACGACGAAGCCAAGAACTCTATTCTTATAACATGGCAAATCTCGTTTAATTATATACTTAAGGCAAGGCGGTCGGCGGCAAACCTGTTGTCATTAATGAGCTTCTTTGACCGGCAGGGGATTCCGGAAACGCTTATTCGAAATCGAAGTGGGACAGAGAACAGACATGGGGACGTAGACGCTATCAATGCAGACGGTGAAAAGAGTAACAGTGACAGCGACGATAGCGAGTCGGAAACCAGCGTTGACGACGGATTTGAAGAGGATATTTTTACGCTAAGGAACTACTCGTTTATTGCGCTTACCACCGATGCCACGTTCAACATGCACAGACTTGTGCAGCTGGCCACGCGGAAGTGGCTAGAAGGGCAGGGCCAACTAGAAATGTGGAAGCAGCAGTACATCGACAATCTTTGTACAGCATTTCCGACAGGGGAACACGAAAACTGGGCCCAATGTCAGGCGCTCTTTCCGCATGCTAAGTCGGCGCTATCGCAGCCGCCCAAGTCCGAGGAATCCCTTAAACAGTGGGCTCTGTTGTTGTATAACGCGGCCTGGTATGCGTGGCAAAAAGGAAGTCTAAGTGATGCTGAGAAACTGTCGATGAGGTCAATGAAGGCTCGGATAAAAGTGCTCGGTAAAGAGCATAAGGACACATTAAGCAGTATGGCGATGGTAGGGCTAGCAGCAGACCTTGCTGGACAGTGGAAGGAGGCCGAAGAGCTGTTTGTGCAAGTGATTGAGACGAGCTCGAGGGTGCTTGGGACGAGCATCCAGACACGCTGACCAGCATGAACAATCTCGCATTTACGTTAAAGGCCCACGGTCGCAACGACGAGGCTGTTTTCTTAATGGAAAAATGTTTCCAACTACGAAAACACGTCCTAGGCCCTCGGCATTTATACACAACATCATCACTAGACGCTCTAAATGGTTGGCGGTTGGAAAACGTGGAGATAAGCGTTTGAAAGGGTTCTATCTGTTGTAGGCTTGGAAGTATAATAGGTGTTGCCTGGAAGAGAATATCATTCTTCTTGTTAAAGTAGCACGCTGAAGATATTGCAAATATGGATAAATCAAGCTGTAAGAGCACGCTTACGAATGATATCTAACGGTAATCTTAACGGTTTGATAGTTGGTGTCGCCACCACTAGCAGGGAGGATGGTCGACCCGCACCGGCCACACTCTTGTAGGCTCTAAACTCTGATAGAAGTACTGATTAGTACAGTGGCAAATCACGTGCTTTGGTCTGTGGCGTAATAGTGGCTGGAATGCCTGTACCCCTGCTTGCCGGCCGGAGCAAACCGGTGTTACAACAACGAGCAAGGGTGAAACCGGATTCAATAACGTAGTCGGCAAGCTAGTGGGCCATGCAAGCTAGTGGGCCACCCAATTTTTGGTGCGATTTAGACCTTTTAGCACCCCAGCAATCTCAACAACTACGAGATATAAAGTATAGCTTTAAGATTGCATATACTATCTAGCTCATTTTAATAGCTAAGAGAATGTTTGGAGCAGTATAGCAGCGTAATCCTATTATATTGTAGGTATTACTTGATTTTAGGGGCCAAAACTAGGCAACATTTTACTGCGGCTAAACAGGGCTATCAAGAGATCTAAAAAATTAACAGATGATATTAAAATAACCACGGATATCATTATCCTAAGTCACAACCTGGAATATTCTGTGATTGTTAAGATTGCTAGGGTGCTAAAAGGTCTAAATCGCACCAATAATTGGGTGGCCCACTAGCTTGCATGGCCCACTAGCTTGCCGACTACGTTAGCGGCTGTAACGTTATATAATCTTCACAACTCCCAGTGTAAGATCACCCCATATACTTTCAAAACTGTTCTATATCATTCGCGCCACTGGGGCCCTCCATGGCTCTGTCATCTGCGCTCTCCGTGGATCTATCATTTGCGCCACTGGGGCCCTCTATGGCTCTGTCATACGCGTCTCTGGCACTTCGCTCATCCGCATCTCTGGTGCTTCGGTCATCCACACCTCTGGCAAACTCGCCTCTGGCGCAGTCGCCTCTAGCGCAGGAGTCTTGCGCGGACGACCATGTTTTCCGTTGCCCGCCGTAGCTTTCTCTTCCGCTGGTGCCGCCGTAGCTTTGTCTTTCGCAGCAGCACGCTTTGCTCGTGCTTCATTAAGGTCCTCATAGCTCATCACCTTCGCCTTCCCTAGGATTAATAACTTGGTCGATCGGCGAACTTTGGCTTCGTTGTTCATCTGAGCCAAGAATCGATTTTGATCCTAAAGAAGGGCACATTTAGCAAAGGAGATTCTGGCGGCACTTGCGAGCTTCTGTACGTGTCTCTGTAGGCGCTGTTTGCTAATCTCATCAAGCTTATGAGCATCCTGTTTGATCAGTTTGTGTAATAGCATAAGACCCTCTGCTGCCACTAGCGTTACAGGCGTTTGCGGTACTTCATCTTGCGGACAAGAATTAGCTTTTGGAATGGTAAGTTGAGCGGGGGGCCTCGGTGTATCTCTGAGTACTCTCTCTGGGTTGAACGGAAATAAACTAGTCGCGGCCCACCCGGCTGTAATATTCCTCTTTGTTAATGCCCTTCCCCTTGCAGGGCTGTATAGAGATGTGAAATGCTCCTTGCTAACTACATCTACGCCCCCTTAATATAGTTGTTCGACCTGGTCGCGATAGGCTGCCTTTAAGGGTGCAAAGACTCCGACGTCGCAGGGCTGGAGCTTGTGGGAGGTGTGAGAGGGAAGACGGCATAGGATCATGTTGTTTTCGAAGCAATGCTCTAAGATCTCGACCGTCTCGTGTGTCCCGAAGCTATCGCATATTAGAACCCGTGGTTTCTGGTTAGCCTGTTCTTTGGTTTGGGGATCAAATACACGCTTAAGCTACTCTAAACTAATCTTAGAGTCAGTGTATCCACTTTCAGAATGCGCATAATGCCATCCAGGAGTTGGGTATATAGTCCAGTTGCTTTGGTGGGTTAAAGCTGGCCAGATTATTAGGGGGAGCAGCGGCCTGCCGTCAGCACTAATGCACTCAACAGCAGTAACCATTGTCCGCTTAACACCCGCGCTTCTATAGTCTCGCAGGTCGTACTTACCTATAAGGACCTAGTCAGCACTAATGCACTTAACAGCAGTCACTATTGTCCGCTTAACACCCGCGCCTCTATAGTCTCGCAGGTTATCCTTACCTACAAGGACTTTAATAGAACCGAGCATGCTTAGCAAAACTCCCGTCTCATCTATATTATAGGTATTTTCCGGCAGAATAGCTAAATCCTAATCCTGTAGCACTTTTCCAATCAATTTAAACCACTCTACAATCTTATTATATATGTTATTCCTATGTTGTTTCCAGTTAATCGGTCTAACAGTTTTAGCTTTAAGTTCTAGATAGCGTTTTTCAAAGCCCCAAGCCCAGTTCTTGCCTGGAGGCTTAATCGGTTTATTCTTTAATTAGTTGCAGGCGACACAAAAGGCTAGCGAAGGTATAAACTTTATGCACACTGGCTGCCCGAGATTAGACATTAGTAATAAGAATTTAATAACAGCTTTCTCTTTATCTAGGGTCAGGTATTGCTGGCTTTGGGCCTTTTCCTCTATTAAGCGTCGTCCCTTGTTATAATAATAGAGCGATAAAAGAGGAACATCGCCCCGTTCTGCAAGAGTAGCGTATGTCCTAGGCACGTCTAGAGGGGCTTGCGCCAGCACCTGGCTGGCTCGGTCCATGTTAGCAATTGTGGTGATAGTGAACGAGTGGCGGGTGGCAAGAGGCCACAACACTAACAATAGGCGCGGACGCTAAAAATAGTGGACACATAACTGTCAAAGTTTCTAGAAAAACGCCGCACTTTATTTTAATTTAAATCTATATACCAAGACACCGAGCGTTCCCTTGCACGGAGAAACTTTAAAGTGTATGCTGTTTTAAGTGTTACGCATCTTTAATGCTTCCAAATATATTTTCCTTTAATAGGATTATTATCCTAATCCTCCGAAATTTGAAAATATATTAATAGTCGCAGTGGAGCAGGGGGGTAAAGCTAATTTAGTCCTGGACGCCATGAACGGAATAACTAAAGCATGACCAAGATTGTTGTATTTTTCTTATTGCAAACTGGTTTCCTAAGGAGAAATGCGTAAAGAACATTATTATATTAGCTATAACTTCATAGGCGTACAAGGAAAGACTTAAGATGTCTGAAACAAAAAATATTTCTCGGCACGGGGGTTTTCTCGCTACACAGGGACGCACCTTACTGTTCCTCTGAGCATCACTGTTAAATTGATTTCGCATGTGAACCTTGACACTGCGCGGTTGTTGGCGCGAGTACAGCGGGTATGGCGGTGTCAAGGTTCACATGCGAAATCAACTCAGCAGTGATGCTTGGCCAAGTGGGCATTTTATCCAGCCCAGGTTGAGTAGGGGGTCCTTTGCAACATTAGCTCCTTGAAGAGCAGTCAATCAGGCCAGCACCAAGGGAGAGCGAAATTACAACGTGAATAATTCGATCAATGATAAAATATAGAACGAGACGAGTGCCGAAGAATGAAAGGATGGGGAGTGTTGGTAAGCAATGCTTAGGGCCTGGTAGGAAGCTGGACAAAGCGTTGAGAGACCGATCTGCCTCTGAGTGCTTGTGCTGAATGAGTTGACGGATATGTGGAACTAGACTAGATACACCAGCTCATTTCGATATTCAACTGGAAACAGTCATTCACCCTTTTCTTGAACATATCACAGTCTTCGCAGATCTCGTTGCTGCTCAGTATGACTGCCCGTTTCAATGAGATAGGAGGCTCATTTCTACTCAGCTCCATCAGGTCTTGATGTATCTTCTCACTCTTCAACAACAAGCGTTTCTTCTTCTCTTGAGCTCTCATCGCAGCCACGTTAGCGTCCGACTCAAGGCTTAACAGTTCTTCATCGATCGCATAGATCTCATGTTTCAGTCTTTTAACCTCGTGCTCATCGTAAGAGTCATCCAGCAATCGATCATCTGCTTCGAAGAGTTGGCCGTCCAATTGTACTTTCCTCTCTTCCAGATCATACACCTTTGCCCAGGCTACGGACGAGTGCTTTCCCTCTGCAAGAGAGTCTTCTACTTCAAGGATTGAGTCTTCCAATTTCAGGTCAGGCTTTCCGTCTTGAGGCATGAATACGTGCCTGTCTATGAAGTAGGCGATCAGCTTCTTCTCCGCATGGGAAGCAAAATACTTCCCAGGTTTGCCCTGATCCCAACCTGGATCTGGCGCATCTTGGAAATTATGGCCAATTGTGGATGCGATACGGTAGACTCGCTCGATCCAGTGTGGCCCAGTCTTATAGTTCAGAGGCAGAGCATCGGTACCCCAACTACTGGTTGCCGATATACGAGCGAATTGATCTCCCCTACCGAGAACGGCGGCAGTTTTGGTGATACGTGGCACACGATGGCTGCGAATGGGTCCACACAGCGTTATGACCATCTCAGAGTGGGATTTCCTGAAGCTACACTTATTGCGTTCACTCTCCGAAGGTGGTTCAGTGTATCCATGCTGCTTCTCGGCGTTCAAGTCACCGAGTAAGACGACAATATGTCGCCTGTCTCCATCACGCTCTGGTACGCTTTCTGCAGCCGCACGCGAAGAACGCCGGTATCTCTCTTTTTCATTTTTGCGAGTCGGTTGCGCTAAATCCATCGCACAACGACCCTTATGGTCTTGAAGGCGTTTGTCGGCATTGGCGTTGAGCAGCGCTTTTACGCTTTCAATTCGGCCCCAGAGCGCCGCCTCCATGAGCGCACTTCGTCCGTTATTGTTGATAGTGTTCGCATCTGCACCGTGTTGTAAAAGGAGTGACACCATCTCATGGCTCTTTTCTGCCGCAGCCATGATCAGAGTAGTCTCTCCAGCCTCGCTTTTCCCGTGCAGAAAGAGTTTCGTTTCGGCCGAAGTGCTGAGATATCGGCTTATTGTATGCAAGTTGCCAAGTATGCATTCTGAGATAGCGAATAGAATTCTCTTTTGCTTAAAGGTATCGCCGCCTGTAAGAGGGATAGTTTCCAACTCTCTTGAATCAGTACGAAGATTCAAAACCAGCCCTGACATTGGTTCTGTGGCTGATATTTTCATAGTGGAGCGAAAAAGATCGGCCAGTTCGCACTCATCTTTTTCTGAAGAATGTAAATCCTCATCCTCTTGACCTGCTTGCAAGCAAATATTCACAAAACAGGCCCTTTCCTTATCAATCTCATAGCCGACAAGTTTGTTGCTTTCATCGATGGGAAATTTAAACTTGTATTGGCCACCTGGGTAACAGTGCGAAGCACGTCTGCCCGGAAGCCCGACGCCGTGCTGATGTATCTCCTCGCAGTACGGACATTTAACGTAAACGTGACACGCATTCCAGTGAAGCACATCGATTTTCGGACATGGAAATAGGTTGGTAAACATGCTGCGCTTGATCAGAAGGGAACGACTCTGGTGGAAAAGTACGAAGAGCGGGGCTCGCTGCTTAATCAGAATCCGAATTCTCATTTGGCCAATCAGAACTCTAGGATATTGAGAAGCGAGCGCACCCATTTTGGGGAACATGCTGTTAACACCAAGCGCTGCGCATGGAACTCGAATTTCTTGCTTCTTTTGAGGTAGATCTAACAGACACAGCTACTTAAACGTATTGCTAGCTCCCTAAAAATTATTGCCCTGAGTTGGGGTGCCGATGTTTCATTTGAAAGTTTGATGGGGTCGACCCCTGTTAGCGCGGATTCTGATTATCCAGCGAGCCTCGCCCTTTGTATGATGCTGTCTTGCGCATGGGTCGCGTTGTCGCGGGGTAGATGCCAAGCACTGCCCAAGTAGCAAGCTGACGTGGGCTGGATAAATGCCCACTTGGCTTGGCGGTGAAGTCCCTGCGCAGAAAGAGCGTGTGCAGAAAAAACCGGAAGCTGATTATGCAAGTCACTGTAAGCATAATTTCGCCTTCTGCCGTTGCATGTTAGCCTTACCGTGCAGGGCGCGCCACACTGCGGGTTGTGCAATCAGCCGCACCCCGCTTAGAGCTAAGCTTGTCCAAACTCCCTCCTTATAAAACCAAGCATATAGCAAGGCACAGCAGGATTCGCTCACAGCACTATTGCGCTGTCTTACTTTCAGATGCGATTCTTTAGTATAGCTTAGCGTCCTCTCCTCCTGTATACTCGCCAACCTTGGTAGCTAGGACTAATATTCTTAACGTACGAGTGAGTTGCCCGGCTCCTCTTTAGTTGTGATATTTCCGATCACGTGATAACAATTCGGAGGACAACAGATGTCGATTCTATGTAGGAATCTGGCTAGGCTATATACACGTAGGTGAGGCCCGTGCGGCCTCCAATTGAACTGGATCTATGGTAGGAACGCCTCCTACTATAGATCTACATTGCGCGTGCATATGAACCTATACATCACGTGCTCTGTACATCACGTGTCCGAGTATCACCCGAACGCTGAGAATTCCACATAGTTAGGCTGCCGCGTTTAAACTCGGCCGAAATCTATTCCCTCCGCTTGCCCTCGCCCAGCTCCATGCGATACAATGCGTCTTTTGCGACGCCGATAGGTTGTGAGCATTGGTTGGTCGTATTTCTTCCCATTTATGTTGCTATCGGCCACGCTCGACACTCTTCCTTCGTTCGTGAGGGACTTGTATTAGCTGAACTTCTACTTCTTGTCCAATATTTCGGTGTTGTCTAATGTTTCGGTGATGCCTGCAGCCATTATAATTGCAAATGCCTTGCTTAAATAAAACCAATCTTCTATATTCGGATTTACTAGTCCGACGCTTTGGCGGGACATGCTCGGGCAGATAGAGCAGATTGCATTTCGTTTGGCCAAGCAGAGCTTTCCCAACTGCATTGTTTTCCTCTTATTTTGTGATTGTTGCTAATTTCATGCCTAACTAATCCATCAAGGAGTCCATAACCCGCGCAGCTCTCGATGGAAACTTGACTCGAAGACTTATTAGCATCTTGACGCATTCGGATCCGTTCTCGTTTCATGTGAGATAATTGTTTCGCCAGGTATATAACACAGCCGAATTTAAATGTTAAACACTTCCTTTAACGGGCTATGCGGTACTGCCACATGGCCAGATAAGCTCTCCAACAAGGACACAGCCTTAAGACGGAGCAAAACCTTGCAGATGGTTTTCTCCCTCGTAGGATGACTGCCATATGAAACAGGCATCTAGCGTAGCTCCTGTATTTGCGGCTGAGTCTCAAGGTGGCAATGAGATGCTGTTGGACCTCCTAACGAATCCTGCCTGGACGCACAGGATCACGGAGGACTTCTAGTGTCCACAAGGCGCACGCAGCTGAAAGATGCCACCATTGCAATTAAGCATTGCGAAATGTACACCTCTAGCGTTAAAAGCTATATATCTGGACTTCGGAAGCCTGTTCTCGAGGCCCTCTCTTGACATCTCCACCTACTCCCTTCTCCAACACCAAGTCGAAATCTCTTCGTCTACCACATCAGCACATCTCCTCTTAAGAACCACGCCGTTCTTTCTCTTTAATCTTCTTATTCCTTGTTGTTTCTCCCTTCGTTTCTCGCTATGAGGAGCTTCTTTCTACTCGCTTTCTTTATTGCATACGCTTGTGCTCAAGCGCTATGGCGATATAATAGTAGTGTGACGCAGACCCAGAGAACCAAGCTCGAGTCCGCATAGGGCGAACTACGGTGGCTCTATCATTACGCAGCTAGGGAGGGAAGAAACCGCAATTCGGGTGGTCCCTCCGCCACTCCATGGATGCAGTGCGCCCACATCGGTCACCTTCTATATAGATCAACTACTGATTTTCCGCTTAGTTACTTTCCAACAGACGCTGATAGGTCACAGCGAGTACAAAATACGTGGGAGTACCTGGCTGGCTGGACACCATAGTCGGCCCCCAAATCCCCGCTAATCAAAGGGGACAGCCGAGCTGGGCCTCCGTTTCAATCAGTACAGCCACAATACTTCCTCACCGTAATGAAGCGGTCACGCAGATTATAGATATTCCCAGCAGCCAAGGTGGAGGAAGAAGATGCGTTATAATGCTTCATAGCAGAGGTATGGATGGCGCACTGCTAAGCAACATCCAACCGGCCGATATACGCGCATACGCGTCAGCCACCATGGAATGCGTAGCCAATATCTTGCTTCATGAAATTATGTAAGATATCCCGAAAGTCCTAAACTCTAGAATCTAGTTTCACGTTTCCAATTAGGCATTGCGACCAACTTACCGAACAAACGATATTATCCAACCCAGCAACTGGTAGACAAGAGTAAGCCCTAGCGCGCCCACAGCAGGACACAATGCGACCCTGGAGTTTCTGACACTTTTTCTAGCATGTTTCAAAACTCTAATATTATTGACGACCGGCCTTCACCCGACGAAAGTCTCTACAAAGGCGTTTCCTAGGGCTCCTGGCCAAGCCAGCAGCTCAAACGCCATGATATCAACGCCTCGTGGCTTAACAACGACAGCTATATGTATTTTGCGCTGGTAAAGTTCCTAGCCCACCAGCTTCCCAGTTGTTTACTAAAGTATGATGCATATAGGAATCCTACTGGCAACAGACCTTGAGCAGGCCTTACTTCAGGAGGCCAACCAAGGCGGAGTACCAATTCGACTGTCCAAGAAGGCTTAACTTCTACTAGAACACTGGCTGCAATGTCATGTGAAAACCTAGAAAAGCGGACGTCGATGAGACTTTTAGAATGTGTTTCTCCTTCTAGCCGCGGAGGTGATGTACCGCGCCGTACAGTCTTCATGTTCCGTCTTGTTATTTCTGGCATCAAGTACTCTGGTCTCCACTTTCACTTTTTGGTTTCAGTTTTTCCTTTGAGCTTTCCGATTGTCTTTAGTTGCGGTCTCGCGTTATAATGTGCTTTTGTATTCCACGCCTTGCTTTGATAGATGTGAGAAATCGAATTTCGAATACGTTTTACTGAACCTACCTATGCAGCCTCAGCGGCCGAGTGAGCTGCTATGGATAATCCAGAATAAAGGCTTGCGAGCTCATAATCGATAGTTAATGGTTCACAGTTGCTGATCTGAATGTGGCGTATTTCCACTTGAATGCACACTATTGGATCCCCGGGCGTACCTTGGACGAGCACGTCGTGATTTCTGAAGCTTGTCGTGGGCAGAGCAGCAGCGAAGTTCAATTCTTGGTGATGTATACATGCAGGTTGTAAATGTCAGCCTTGAGCGTTTACATACGGCATACGTTCACGTGTGTGAGGCGAATCTTTCTGTCCAATCAGCTGGAGGATAGAAAAGTGGAGGTGCTGCGCCGCACCAGCCTACCTTCCGGCGAGGCCACCTTCGTCTTCTACAACTCCCCCAACCTCGACTCCCGTCTCATAAGATCTGACGTCGCCGTCATGTTCGGAGGTCGCTGTGGAGGTGTCATCCATGTCACGATCGAACAGCAAATCCGGATGCTAGACAAAGCGGCGCCTCCAAAGCGATCATTACGGCGCCGGGAGCTATCACGACCGCCGAAACCTGGTTCCAGACTCCCATTCCTCGGAAAACGACGCAAGCAGCAGCGTCAGACGGGTCCACTGTTTTCGCGACTCCCTGCAGAGCTCCGAATCATGATCTTCAGCTACGTCTTCCACGATCCCAACGATGTCGTCCATGTTCTGTGGATGCGAAAGAGTCTCGCCCACATACGATGCCAGATTCCGGAGCATGCGCATGGCCGTAATATAGGCCGTGATATAAGCCGTGAATGTGTGGACTACGCTTGTGGTCCATCAGACGGACTCTACCATCCTTTGCATTACGGCTGGAAAGGGACTTCGAGAACCGAGATTGCCCTCCTGCAGACATGCCGACAGGTCTACGGGGAGGCGATTAATCTCCTCTACTCAACTGCTACTTTCGACTTCACATCCGCTCGATCGTTCATGTACTTTGAACGCGCTATTCTTCCACAGCGCCTTGACGCCATAACGTCGCTGCAGATATATTGGTTCTCCTATGGGCTGCCAACTCGAGACGATCGCGAAATCATTCAGATCGAGTACCTACCTACGCATTGGGACCCTATGTGTCGGACTATTGTTACCATGAAGGGATTGCGGAGCTTCATTTTGCTGCTTCACGGCTTCGACAGTTTAGATGACTCGCATCAGGACCTTTTATTAGAGCCGTTGGAGGACTTGAGGGGTTTGAAAGAGTGCAGGATCCAAGCAGTGTACGATAACAAGCACATCTACTGCCAGGACAATGGGATTACACGGCTGTCGTCTCTGGGTAAGAGAATTATGGCGCAGGCCACCCTGACACGCTAGGGTAGGGAGTATTTCATAGCCTTGTCACGTAGAATCGTATATCAACTTGCTGGCAAGCTAGATTTCAAGAAGTACCCTGAGTAGAGAGTTCGATGATTTGCTCTCGCAATCGGAGTTTATCGCTACTGCTGAACCAGTCCCTTACGTGATGTTTCGAGTAGAACACAGAGCGGCCATTGCCACGGCCGATGACCTCAAACCCGTCAATCGTTTGCGACTCCTCAATTGCACCCACCTTCCCAGGTTCGTCCCTCCAGATCTGAATCTCATCCCATCCAACTCGATCGGGAAAAGGAACCTCCATCCTCGCGTGCTCATGTGCTAGCTCCTTCCCGAGGCGTCTGGCTATTCGTGCGACTCTAAGAGCCTGACTCAAGTCTGCAACTTCAAACAACACCATTATTGCTTTAGCTTGATGCGCAATTTCCAGAAGACGGGGATAAAATACGTCGCCTTCCTCTTCATGTGATATTGCAGAGTTTGGTGGCGGAACTAGGGCTAACTCGGGTTCGAATTCACGAACGGAGCGACTCGTAGTGCGCAAGAAATCCGAGGGGGAGATGTAGGGGTGGTTGCAAATGAGAATGTGGAACGTTTTGGCTGTGTAGGCCCTTAGTCCTTTAGTCACTCGACTCTCCCCAGGATTTAGCGCAGGTTTGAGGACCAGGGCTGCCTCAAGGGTGGGGTGATCGGGGCTTTTGCCGAGTACGTCAGCTGGAATATATTTTATTTGCTCCAATGCTTGAGTCTGCGGTGGAAGAACGTTGTATTCCTCGCCTGTAAGCAGATGCTGTTCCTTCTCGTTCTTCTACTCTATTCTGCGCAGACGAGCGTCTCGAAGCACACGCTCCGTGTTATCTCGAGCTAGTTGCAAGGCATCAGGAGATATATCAACACCGACCATCCGCAGGAGTGTGTCAGGGCGTCTTCTGCTGAGCTGGTGCTGGAACGGCAGTGGAATGCATCCGACGCCGGTACATAGATCGAGAACGCGAAGATTTCGAGGAAGATTGGGGGCTATGCTGAGCATGTCGACGAGATGCGGAACAGACGCTGCAACAGCCTCTTGGGCTCGGCATCTGGAGCAATTGTGCTAGAATCCCGAGAGCCTTGTCGTGGAATTGCTCTAGGTCGGCTTAGTCGTGGACGGTTTCGAAGCTGGAAAATCGGCCATGGGATCCGTCTCATCGCGCGGGCATGGTGTTGAGAGGCGCGTTCCAATTGAGTGGACGCGATTTAAGTTCCGAGGTCCCAAGAAGGTCACGTGGACGGGACGAAAACTCCAACGACGCTTCCTTCGCATCCCACCACTCTCACCATGGAAGCCGGCATCTCACGATGAAGGCAAAAGGTCTTGTTCATGGCCTCAGCGATGACTTTTCCATTTCCTTCGCCTTTCTCAGCCACACCACGGCTGTGTGGCGTCCTACTCCTTTCTAGCGCCCTCTCGGAGCGCGAGTTTAAACAGCCCTGAAACAGGGGCTCGAACCTCTTCTTAAGCATGAATATCTTCAATCCCCGGGCCCGAGAACCCGGAGAAAACACCAGCTATGATCATATCACTCTCCATCAAGGCTTTCAGCCTCTTCGTCCTCATCAATGCCGCTTTCGCGAGTTCTCCATTTAACCATCCATCACCACAATGTCTTGATTCCCCCATTGCAGGGTCCGATCCCGCATGTACTAAGAACAAGTCAGATGACGGCATTGCTGGAGTTGACCAGAATGGGCAGATGCCCTTGGGCGATTCTTTCCAGCTCGATGACGACCTTCTGGATGCGCCCTGGACTCATGAACCGGTCTGTACCCATCACATTCACGAAATCGACAGCGAACTATGCGTCTACACAATCGCAAACTTCGATAGAGGGCGGGGCATCTCCATTTTCACAACGCCCCGAGTAGCCAATGAATTTGCAGCTTAAATGCCCTTCCGCGATGTCCAGAACCTTGGCGTTAACGATTACACGAAAGTCTGGTACACGCAGGCTCTTACCGATAAAGGCATTGCCATGTTAGCCAAGCGCGATATCAAGCGCGCCGAGATGATTACTGCCTATACGCCTGTGCTACTGGTCTACATGGACCCGCAACTATCGACGCTAGAGCAAGAAAAGTATCTGAAGAATGCGGTCAATTAGCTCCCAGCCCCGACAATGGATGCATTTCTGAGCCTTACGAGGTTCTATAAGAACCCGATGGCTGTCATGCAAGATGTGCTAAAGTCGAGTACCTTTGAGATGGAGATTGGTAGCCAAATGCATCTGGCGCTAATACCAGAGCTATCCCGAATGAATCACGATTGCGCTCCAAAGCACAATACTTAAAGTCACTGTCTAAAGAACTATAAGCTGATTTTCAGAAAGTGCATAATACTACCTCGACAGTGCAGCCCTAACCTATGTAGTGCATGCCACAAGAGACACTAGCCTAGACGAAGAGATCACTATTGCTTATACTTCCATCACTTTTCATCTTGTTAAAATGTATCCTAACAAGATGCAGATTCTGATCTACTTACTTATTACGAACTCCGCCACAAGAATCCTGAGATAGGATACCACTTCTCCTGCTAGTGCAAGCGTTGCCAGGCATCTGAAGCCTTGGACGCTGTGCTGACTACTATTAAAACGCTAACAGCTGGTCTTGAGGACTAGTCGCCGGACTCGACCGCCACGAACGAGGATGCAGAGCACGTCATTTAGCTGTTTGAAGAGCAAGGTCTCGAGGGCTTCCTTGATGTCCCTCATGGCCATGCAGCCATGGCATACAGCGCCGTCTGCAACGCAGAAGAAGCAGCGAGGCATGCGAAACTAGCTGCTGAGATCCTGGCTGTTAAGCTGGCGCCAACAGTTCCGGGTGTGGCGGAGTGGGAGGAGATGGCTGCTGATGTGAAGGCGCATTGGAGTTGGGGGAAGAGGAAGAAGGGCCTAGGTGGAGCTTTGAAGAAACTATTTGGGTGAGGTGGGTTGCGGTGGCTGCACTGGCAACTTCTCGAACCATGATCATCAGAGCTAGGAGTTTGTAAACCTCGCGAAAGGATTACAACTCCATTCAATGTCCCAGGATCCGTCACCATCGAAGAATCTCGGCGTTGTAAGTAGAAGGAAGCACGGCTTGGACGGGAAAGGCGTATGGCGTGACATGGAGTCGGATATCTGAAAAAGGATATGGATATGATTGTGAAGTCAAACAGCGGTTGGTATATCTTCAACTGGTCCTTCATTCGGTGGTTATGGTTCATTTGGCGTCCAAAGCTGTGAAAAACACGTCCTACGGTCAACGACCTTCTTGCTCATTCAATTATCAACGTCTTTTTTTCATTTGAATCCCCTTTTCTGGTCTTTATCTCGCAAAAGACATAAGACGTATCTCTTTCTCAGTGTGTTTGCAATCAAATGACTTCATTGTCACATTAGACTTGGAAGAAGATGGCTTCGTGGAGTACGGTCACGTGACCACGACATCACCGCGTCGAATGATTCCGCGAACATCGTAAGTTCTGGAGGCAGAAAACTCTCTCCAGCTCCGTCGAACACATGCCGATATCCAAAAAGAGCTTCTGGCGGTCGTTGTGGTCAATCGCAGGTCCGGACCCAGTCAGCGCACGGGCCTCTCGGGGTGAATTGGAGACTGATATCGGCCACGCACCCACGAACAAGAGGAAAGGCGGTTAAGAGAGATTTTGCTCGTGATAGTCGGGTTGTTAGACTGCTGCCACGTATGTATTTCATCCGCGCTGTCGGGTGGCATCACGTCAAGATTGGGAGAGTGCAGCCGAGTGAATGCATTATCTCTGTAAAGGCGATATGCTTTTACACTAGAATTGTATTGATTGCATGCAGGAATATAATAAACAACATATCGTGGCGCTGCGCACTAGTATATCGCCCTGCTATTTTCGATATGCAAAAGCTAAATATAGTGTAGTCTTACGAGCAGAAGCTCTTTGGTACGTCCCTTTCCAGAAAAACCGACGGTTCGTTGGACGGACTTTAGAAATTGCCCAGACTACCACTTTGCTTGCAAACAAAAGTCGCTGCGAGCGGGTAGCAATAGTTGGCCTTGGAGGCGTTGGGAAGACGCAAATTGCACTCGAATTTGTCCATCAATGGCGGGAGAAACACCCTGACTGCGCAGTGTTCTGGGTACCTGCAACGAACGTCGAAAGCATGCTAGAAACGTACCTGGATATTGGCCGCCAGCTGCAGATTCCTAACATTGAAAAGGAGTAGGGTAGTATAGCTATAATTCTATTTAGTTTCGGGTTATAGATATTATAAATTTAGATATCCTCTCCTCTAGTACAGAGAGAGAGGGTAATAAGGTCTAGTAAGTAGTGCTCTATAGACTACTAGTTAATATTAAGGTTCTTATTAATACATATATATACTCTTATATTTAGACTTCCTTTATATAGAAGGTAATAGGACTTTATATAGAGTATCCAACATGCATGTCTCTCTGCTATTCTGTCCGCCCCCGTGCCCGGTTTTGGCCCCGCACTTCTGCTGGAAAACCCAGTTTGGACCAAGCGGGGAATACGCGCTGTACCGGCTTGGCAGAGCGATATGCTGATATCTCGTCGAAGAGATTCGACTTCGGACTCTGCAACTTCATCCACTCAATCGTTATTTCATCCCCTAGCTCCTCATTTCTCTTTCTAATGTGCTTGGCCCAATTGACACGTCCGAAAGCCTCTAGCTCCGCTCATTTTCGGCGGGACCGCCGCAGGCTAGAATCCGTAGCCGCCTCGGACGGCGTGGGCATCGGTGAGGTTGAACGTGATGGTGCAGAGACTTTGTCGAATTCCATGGTGCAAGACCCTAATTTATGTCAGATTCAATCATTTTTCTGCTTCCTTAGAACTTTAATTGGGCTTACCTTCTATACCGGTGGATTGGATAGTATCAGCTTCCTCCAAGTCATCGGTCTTCAGTTTCCCGAAGGTCTCTGCCCCCTGATTGCGCTTCTGGAATTTGAATTCGCGCAAAAGGTCGACACGCAAGCCATCGAGGCGGTCAGTGTCCATGACTTCCCCATCCAAGGAGATTTCGCAAGAATCGTGCGCCATCTCCGTCGCCTTCCTCTTCTTTGGGTTCATGATCGGGTGAGGTCGTTGAATGGAAGAACCTCGAAGAGCTGGGGTGACGACATCCTCCTCATCAAGGTGTTCAGTTCCCAAGGCTTCTTCATCCGATGATATCACCAAAATTTCGTGCCCTATCTTCTGCTTCGAGTTTTTCACCGGGCGACGTGGGCCATCAGATGAACCCTCCGGAGCTGGGGTGCCCGCGTTCTCAGCGAGTTGATCCATGGCTTCTTCACCTGAGCATAGGATCTCCCCAATATTATAATGCCTCCCCTTCGACTTTCTCTTCTTTGGGGTTTTCACTAGGGGGAGCTGGCTAGTAGGGAAACCTCAAAGAGCTGTGGCGATGGTATTCTCCTTCGCCCTTGGCTTGCTTGTATTGGCTTGCGCCAGCGGGCGAAACTGGCTCGTAAAAGGTTTTCCGAGAGTTGGGGGGACAGCATCATCACCAGACGACGGAGTATGAAGACATTCTATGTGATTGCTATCATCCGTCATCGGCTCAGCTGGTTGCTCGGTTGATAGCTCCGCTGGCTTGGCTGGCTCCTCTAGATGCTGTTCACTTGGAAGTGCGTAATAACGTATTTCATGGTCGCTATCGTTTAACGGCAGCTCAAGGCAGTAAAGCAACGGCTGGGCTGGTCGGTCCACTGGATCTTCGACTGGATCTTCGTCTGGCTCTTTAGCGGATTCTTCGACTGGCTGCTCGGCTGGTAGTGCATCGAGCCTTTCTCCAGGGTCGCTACCGCTGGTACTGTGCTCCGGGGAATAAACTGGTAGCTCAGGAAGCTTCTCCACTGGCTGCTCCACCGGCGGATGAAGAAGGCTGGAAGGCTGTCGTGTGCTTGCAGGTGCGCGAGAGGAATAAAAGAATGCTTGGGAGTTGGACTTCGGGCGGGCTGACTATGCTTTAAGTACTGCGAGAGCTTCTATCTTTATCACAAGCTGCTGTGTCAGTTGGCGGAAGCCTTGTCCCTGGTGGATCCACTGCGGCGACGGATACGGACCCTGCACAGCGAGATGACATCCATGCCGAACACCATGAGCCACGGTTCAGCCTCAACGCCTGTTCCAGCTCTCCGCCCTCTCTAGCATTCCGAGCCAACCATCGCCAGGGCTGTATCACTGCCACCACCGTCAGAAATTACGCATGAAGGCCACTATTGAAAGGGGTTGGCATGGCGGCGAAGCCTGTCTCAGTCATCTCTCTCGAACCTGTCCATTCACGGGCGCCCAACAGCCAGCTTCGTCACTGCCACCTCATGGCGTGAGCGTGCGCATAAGGATCACTTTTTAATGGAGTTGGTATGGCAGCGAAGGAAGGCAGAGCAAACGCGAAGTCTCGTCACTTCCCGTTTTTCAGTCCCCTGAGCCAATCGTTAACTCATGGGAGAAGGAATCCTGTCACCTCCCTCATGATCAGTGATGTAGTCAACAATGTACGCATAAACCTTCAGCCACGCAATGGTTTCACCGTCGGCATCAGGGCGCGAGTCTTCGCCCCGGTGCCTCAGCACAAGCATTGCCTGCACTTTAACGTCGCCGGGATCAATCGTTGGTTGAGATATTTCCACTTACTTGGATCACGTTCCCCATCAGGGGCGGAACGCCGTTCCAAACATGCTCAGCCCCTGGCAGCGTTACCACCAGGAAGTTCGCATGGATGCCTCATCATCTATAGCGTAGAAGCGTAGCTGCTGATAAGCGTTATTAGGTGCGTCGCCATCTAATCTACACGAGATTAGAAATAGATCAAAACGCCGCATGCCTTAGTAGTAGCTGGAGATGCTTGCATGAATGTCTGGGAGCGCCCGAGCCTTGTGCTGGCGAAGGAAGGCTATGATACGCACCATGAATCTGAAGTCAGCCTCACGGATCGCATAAGAAAGTGCCCCTAAGATGTGCTAGTGCTTAAGGGATCCGTAGGCAGCAAACACCTCTAACTAGGAAGCTGCGTTAAGGCGCGTAACCGGGCTTAAGTCAGTTGCCTCCATATCGCCATCTTGGAGTGGCTCGGCGAAAGGGGCTGACGCCAGTCCTTGTCATTTGGAAACACTCCCTCGGAAGCACAGCAATAGGATATAGGTAGGGAGGGATCAGGCTCCTATTATAGCTATACCACAGCGCATCTATAACACTCCTAAGTCAGTGAATTAAGGCGCAGTTAAGACGGAGCCTACCTTTAGCTCTCCTACTAAGCAATAGAGGAGAGCAGGATATAAAAGGCCTCTATACCTCTTAACCAAGCGTATATTAGGCACACTACTCTTCCTCTTTTCTATTAGACACTAAACTAGCAGCTGCATAAGAAGTATCTTTAATAATAAGTGATTTAAACGCTATAATTAAAGATCCTATATTATACTAGGCCGAGGTATATTTGAAATATTAAATCCTTTAAGAGATACTACTAATAGAAGCTAGGGTATACTACTTGCTGCTAACTCTACAGGTTCTAATAAGGTTGTTAAGATAGCCGGGCGGGTAAGTAATACTTGCTTCCCTACTACCTATTTATAGTTTACTTGTCAGGCCTTGGAAAGTACTTGGCGCTGGCTGGTGGTGAGCGTATAAGTAGCTAGCAGTTGGGAATCGAGATTGGTTCTCAATTCACACTCTTTTATGGCGCTGTTGGTAAAGCCAGCTGCCCGGCCTCACAAAAGGGGGTATATAAGTAGTATTCCCCCTAGTATATACTTACTAAAAAAGTAGAATTTATTATAATAGGTAACGTAATCCACAAGTTAGTGGCCCGCACAAGCTAGTGGCCCACCCAACCACGCTACCGAGGCCAAATATTCCGAATTACTCCACCACGAACAAATATATTTGATGCAGCTACATACTAGCTAGCTGCCTGCCGCCTAGGGCACGTACGTGCATTGTGTTCTGTTGATTCGCACATGCTGCACCTAGGTTTTGCTCGCTGTGGCCGCTCGGCCGGTGGCTCTGCTGCCTCCTCTGCTGCCCCTTCCTGTACAGGTTGTGCACGATCGGCTGCTTCTTCACCTGATAGAATACCCTTTCTAGCTATATACGTGCGCTTCCTTGCCTTCTTTTGTTTCTGGCGCTGATTCTCTATGCGCAGCTTCTCATTTTCGCTTGCAAGCAGCACGGCGTTTGACATTGCTGTTTCGCACGCCTTGATAATTTGGCCAAGGGCCTGTTCTGCTGGACTTTGTGGGCTATGCATACGCCGCTGGCGATAGCGCTTTAGCAGGGCTGTCTGCTTTTGTAGCTCGGCGACATTATGGGGTGTTTCGGCTGTCCAGGATCCATTTGATTGTGGCCGTAGAGAGGGGGGTGGCGGCGTGTGATATCCGGCATGCAGCAATGATAGCACACGATCGGGGTTGTATGGAACTAGGCCAGTAGCTGCAAATCCCGCCCGTATATTGCCTGCATGTAGTGCCTCCTGCCTGGCCTGCCTATATATAGGTAGGAATTCGTGTTTGTCGATGTGGTTGACACCGTGGCCCATAATCTGTTCAACCAGGCGTCCATAGGACCGCTTTAGCACGGAGAAACAGCCAACATCTAGGGGCTGCAGCAGATGCGATGAATGTGCAGGCATGCAGACAATAATAATATTGTGATCCAGGCAGAATTGGTCGAATTCGGGGTTCATATGGCTATCGTGGCCGTCCAATACAAGCATCCGATGCGTGCCAACTGTGCGATCTTTTGTATACTTGTGGAATAGTTTTAGCCAGGCAAGGCCAATTTCATTTGTTGTCCAGCCATTCTCACTAACGCCGATTGACCATTCCTTTGGAATAACCTCGTACCAAGCGGCTTGGTGCATTATTGCTTCAAAGATAACTAGGGGTGGAATTTCAACCCCCATTGCATTAATGCATTCGATAATTGTAACCCATTCTCGATTGCCCGGCTGTACAGTCCTAGGCCGGCCGGCACGGTCTGTTCCAGTAACAACCCGGGCAGTTGCAATAACACCCATTTGGCAGCCGGTCTTATCAAAATTCCAGGTGTCTTCATCAAGAATTCCATATTGTATCTTAATATCTTGCACGCGTTTAAACCAGGCCCGGATAAGCACAGGATCTTCGCATTTAGCACGCTGATAGTCGTATTTGCGATTGAATTTGGATTTTAGGTTGTCATGGCGGCTGATGAAATTTCGCACCCAGTTCTGGCCGACAGTAAGGGGGGTATTCTGTACAACGCGTTGGCTAGCTAGAATGCTGGCCATCTGCCGTACAGTAGCAATACGGGGCGGCATGCCACGCTGGTCCATCGACAGAATCCTCTGTACAAGAACCTCTTCTTGTACAGGTGTAAGACGGCGATTTTTGGAGATAGCACCGCGTTGTGGAGGAATACCACGGGCGCGACGCGTAACCGTCTTTCTGGGCACATCGTATAGTTTCTCAACGCCTCGGAAGGATGTAATTTGGCCGGTCTTGTAGGCTTGAACGCCTAGAATAACTCTGCCTTCTTGAAAGATGGCTTCTTGTTGTTGTGGTGCTGCCATTGGGGTGGTTGTTGGACGACGCGTCGCGTGTTGAGTTGGGTGGGCCACTAGCTTGTGCGGGCCACTAACTTGTGGATTACGTTAGTTGCTAAAGGTCTTAATTAATAAGCAATACTGCAGTACGCTAGCCTAAGGTAGGTAAAGCGTACGCCAAGAGTTCGCACGATCCTCCCGCTCTCACAATCTCCCGCACGCATGATTCTCCCGCATGCACGATCCTCCCGCTGGCACGATCCTCCCGCTGGCACGATCCTCCCGCTGGCACGATCCTCCCGCTGGCACGATCCTCCCGCTCGCACGATCCTCCCGCTAGCACGATCCTCCTCAAGGATTCGGAAAGACCACGTGACATAACAGGCTGAGTCAACAGTGCACCTTGCAACTTCCAGGACCTTGCAAGGTGCACTGCTGCGTCTGGTATGCGTGTCGCTGCTGGCTGGCGGGGCGTTCCAACTTTCGACTAGCTTGGTGGGGTAAGCCCAGTTTATCATTTATCATGTGACCCATCCTGTGCACGGATCTTCGAACTCGTTGCTAGTAGGCGAGGGGTCGCGAGGACGGTTTGTTGAAGAGCGATTGGGGCGGGTTTAAGTAAGTCCATTCCTAGCCTAGGACGGTCACAACCTTCTTGGCGTAGGGTTCAGCGGATTTCTAGCGCCGAGGCGCGTTGACGTTATTCCAGTCCAGCCTCCTGGCTTGCAGCCGTTCAAGCGCAGAAACTAGTTTTAGAAGGTGAGCATTAAAGCGATACCAGCCTATATACAATTACTAACTATCCCGAGGAATATGTTAAAGCCTCAAGAATACCCTTCGCCTCCAGCTCCGCCTCCAGCTCCGAACTGTCTAACGGGATTGGCCCTGTCAACCTATTTCAAGCCGACGCCATGGACGAAGAGGATGCCCAAGTCCAACCAATGGATGCTCCACTAAATAATGCTAGATCTACCATCGCTCCTTCGTTACCGTACGGATTTCGACCACTTCTACCAACAGCCTGGCATAGAAGACCATTTGCAATACCCACCATATTAAGAGCCTTGCCCCTATCTCAGAGTCAGAGCTTAATAAGTTTGTTGCAAGGAAAATGGAGCAATTGACAGCATATAAAGTAGAGTGGAGCGCGATGAAGAAGGGTGGATAGGAATAGGTTGGTCTACGCACCTTACCATCATCAGGGTCTTATCATACCATCTTGCAATGGTCTAGGTTGTGGAAAACATCCCAAGTTGGTACTTGAGCCCCTTCCTCTTTCCCGACCGGCCCCATTCTGCCCATGCCCCCCTGGATAATGCGTTCGTCGTGCAAGTAGTTCTTGGGCTCCAACCGCTTCTGATGTTTGGGGTCCCGGGATTCCAGGGATATCAAGCGCTCCTGCGGTTCAGCGTTCTCGTCCTTCAGGGGCTCTTTGTTTTGCGACATAGCTGCTTCAACTTTTGTGCCCTGTGCAGAGCAAAGTTCTTTTCTAGCCCTTAGTTCCTCCAAGCGCTTCTTAAGTGTGGTGTTCTCGAGTTCCAGAGATTCCAAGCGCTTCTGAAGTTTGGTGTTCTCGTCCTTCTGTAATTGCAGGTGCTGCCTGGTTCGTGCCAAGAAGGTGTTGGCATTTGTCTCCTATTTGGAGCAACGTTCTTTTGCAGCCCTTATTCCTGTTTCAGCTTTAGGTTCTCCTTTGGAGGTCGATTACACCGAACCCGCATTCGCCGCCCACAACCTGCGCACCAGGTGGTGCGTTCAGCGTCTCGACGGCCTTGTAGCCGCGACTGCTCTTGGGACAGTAGAAGCGGGGCGCGCCGGGCGGCCCACTGTTGGTGCCCACAGCGGACAGGTCGGACGCTGAGTGGCAGTCCATGTTCAGATATCAGGGCTCGATCCTGAAATAACGATATGCAGGATCGCTATCTATGTCTCTGTGAGCTTCTGTTAAAGCATCAATTCTGCAATTTGGGAGGCCCGAGAGTATCACCGGAGGGAGGGGAAGTAGCTCTCCGTGAAGCAGGGTGGCTTCCTGGGATTATTGTCCTGTCTCAATGGTAACGGATTGAGAAATTCGAACTTTGCTGTGAAGATGTTAGGTCGAGGAACTAAGGCTTAGAATTTCATACTTGTTTGTAGATCTCCCTATTACCCCTATAGCTATCTTCACCTTCCCAATAGTTTAGTTATGCAAGTGGAGAGAAACAGACGAGTAGAAAGACGCTAACGCAGAGAACGCTAATGATAGAAAATAAGCCAATAAAAGGGCCTCGTAGTGCAGGCTGATGCAGGCAAAAATGCTCACCCTCGCAGGGAATTATAGGCAAAGAGCGGCGGGTGAAAGCTGCAGCCGCAAGGTAGGCGCAGAAGACAAACATGCATAGTCGGGCGCAACCAGATATATCAACATGGTCGTCACTGTGCCGCAATTTAACGCCCTCCGTGCCGCGCATTGACTCTTAGTCTCGACTATTCATCACCAGAAGGCTGGCTGATCTCTATTAAGACATGAGCACTGCACAAATACGGGTCACTTCATTAACGTTCCCGAATATCTAGATTCGACCCGACATCCTGGTAGCTGGCGTAGGAAGGGAGAATCAGTGAGGGAGACATGAGTTGTATTGAGGTTCTAGCGAGTGGCTATATAGTTGGAAGACGGTAGGAGTGGAACATGGTGAAACAAGGAGAAGTGACAGGAGCGTAGCAGCAGCGTAGCAGTAGCGTTCTAGTACAGTATCAAATACACTAGTTCTTACGCACTAGGGGGTGCATCCAGCTGCCATACCCCCCCAGGTTGTAGCTGAACGGTAGTGAAGCTGTAACCTGTATAGATATATAGGAAATGTGATAGGAAATTGGAAATAGTAGGAAATCTACTGCGTAGCCGTATGTCAGCGTTGAATCTTGTGTTTGATGTCTACTAGGCCGATCTGTTCGACGAATTTCTCGTGCTTCTGGCGATCTAGGGCCTTGGTGAATCCGTCCGCAATCATGGCAGCCGTAGGTGTCCATTTGATGTCAATTGCTCGGCGTTGTACTTGCTGGCGTAGCCAAAGATGATGCACGTCTACGTGTTTCAACTTGGTTTGTAATTGTGGCCCGCGTGTAGTGAGAATTCGGATAGTTTGGGCATTATCGCATTCGATGGCATGGGGTTCATCTAGATCTAGCTGTAGGCTAGTGAATAGGCGTTGCCAACGGATAGATTCGCTTCCAG